TGAATTGTGAGAAGAAAAGGATTCATAAGCAATGTCCAAATTACAATAAAGATATATTATTTTTAGATTATATTAATTTTGTCCAAATATGAGTAGTAACGAATGAGATTGTCAAGACGAGCTATGATTTCAATCGAACCTATATTTGTTTTATGGTCAAATTATTAGATAATGTTGTAGATATATCGATATTATCTTGTTGGAATCAGAACCATGGCGTTGGAGCATACCTTGCGAATCTCGTCCACCCTAGTCAAATAAACAAGTTGTAGGGAAACAAAAACAAATGTCACCTAACTATTGTTCGGTGACTTTGCATGAGCCATCTGACACACCCACATTGATTTGTCACAATTAAGCTAGCTAGCTTTGATATGAGAAGCCTAAGTTAAAAATAAAGCATCAGTACAAATGATGTTTTAAGGCTATTTTTTTATGATCAAGACATCCAAAATTCTGGATCTCAAGAACTTTACTATAAAGTCTCATCACAACTTCAAAGATTACAATTTCTGATTTATTAGGATTGATAAGTATTTTAAAAATTATAATTATAGTTAAATTAATTTAAGGAGTTCTAATTAAATTAAAAAATTTTGTGAATTAAAATTTATTTATATAAATACACATTGAGTTTCAGGGTTATGATAAATGAGAGATATAGAGACAAGACACTTTTGGGTGTTTGACTATGATCTGGACAGAGATTAAACATTGATATCTATTAGTTATCTAAGTTATGATACAATGATGTCCTTGCATACGTCTCTTCCAACAAAATTCAATATACAGAATGCACCTCCTTTGATGTGATTATTATCAACAGGTACCGGCGGCTTCTTTGTCTTGTGGAATCGTAAAGCAGCTCCAATGAATATAAACAAGAGAAGGAAGAAGACCATAGGAGCAATGATTGCTACTATTATAACAATTTTGTGGCTCCTGCTTCGGTCGTCTGTTGTTATAATAATAAGTCATACAATAACAACAAAGTTGTTATAACAATAAGTCATACAATAACAACAAAGTCATAATTATAATGATGAAGAATCTAACATTTTAAAGAAGAACGAAGCATCTAGAAACATGCTATCATTTCATCCGAGATCTTATAGCAAGTGGAGCTATAGCAATAAAGTATTACGGAATAGATGAACAACTTACGAATATCCTCACCAAGTCAATTCCAATTCAAAAGCATGTTTATTTCATGTCGTAAATCGGTATATGTAACTATGAATCAAGGGAGAGTATTGAGAATTGATTCATAGTAGTTATCTGGGTAGTTATCATGTTCTGAATAGTTTTAGACATGTTTCAAAAAATAACGTATGATCTAGAGATTATAGGGTAGTTTCTATATCTAACTCAATCTGTGACATGATGAAGTGAGGTAGTTACCATTAGGTCCTATAAATAGGACTATAGTTTATGAAGCAAGATAGAAAGAGTATATACTTGAGAATATCTTGTAAGTATTCTATGTCAATCCTCTTATTTAAATACTACATCGATTTTCTTGATCGAAATTATTATTTTTAATTGTATCATGGTATTCTATTTTTATCATTTTGTTACTCCTACATCCCCATCAGGATCGTCCCCAAAAGGATTCTGTTTTTACTGTTTTTATCTTTTGATGTCGTTTCCTTGGACATCAAAAGAGACGAGCTAAGAGAGAGTGAAGATAGTGGGAGGGATCTGCCCGCTGAGCCTGTTGAACATGAGATTGAGGCCGGTCAGTGATGCAAGGCGGAGAAGTTGAGAGTGTGGAGTGGCCCATCCAAAACCATGCTCGGCAGATTAACCTCGGTGATCACCCTGTGACGCCGGAGGCTGCAGGTTATGCCTCTCCAGATGCATGGGCTGGTGCTGAGGTTCCATGATCGAAGTGATTGTTGTCTTCGGAGGCTGGCATTCCATTGGAGGAGCATGATGGGGATATAAACAGGAATAACCTTTGTATAGGAACAAATACTAGAAGACCATAATACGCAGCGGAATAAAATGGAAACACAATCAAACAGAACACCAAGATATACGTGGAAAACCCCTTCAATGTGAAGGGTAAAAACCACGGGGCAAACTAGAGATAATCCACTATGAGAATAATGAATGTACAAATCTCAATCTCTTGTCCAAAACCCTAGCAACAACCACAAGAGAATAACTAGGATACAAGGATCACGTCACTGCCCACAATATCTAAAACCTCCCAAGTAATCACAGCAAGAGCCTACTGTAGATTTGATCTAACCTGAGATGAGAACACTACTAGATGATTGAGAACAGTCTCTCTGCGTTATCCTTGTCTTCTTCCCTTTCTTTCTCTTCCTTTTCTGTCTTGTTCTACTTCTTCTCTTTGGAATCTCGTGGCCTCCAAGATCTGTCTCGTTGCTGCCTTTTTATAGCTTTAATCTACCTCTAAAACGCAGCCACTACAACCCCCTAATCTTAATTAGGGTTAGGTTAAGAGGGGGTGTGGGCTA